CACTTCGCAAGGTCCTTGAGCACGGGTATGGCTGCCTCGCCGACATCGGCGACCAGACGGACTCCACCGTCTGACGCGCGGCGCCCCGGCTTGAGCGCGCGGGACGGGCCTGCCCATTTTGGGCCGCCCCGCGCGCGCACGCCGCGGCCGCGCTCGGAGACAGCTCGCTAGCGCGCGAGCGGGAGAATGCTTCTTCTATTCTCTGTGAGCAAGCTCCTGCTGTCTCCGCAGCTTCTCTGCCCCCCTCCCTCCTCTCCCACTCTAAGGCTGACGGGCGCTGCCTCGCCGACATCGGCGACCAGACGGACTCCACCGTCTGACGCGCGGCGCCCCGGCTTGAGCGCGCGGGACGGGCCTGCCCATTTTGGGCCGCCCCGCGCGCGCACGCCGCGGCCGCGCTCGGAGACAGCTCGCTAGCGCGCGAGCGGGAGAATCATTCTCCTTCTCCTTCTCCTCGTCCTCCGTCTCCTCCTGGCACCTGTGCCACTGGGTGCCTTTCCAAGAAGACAGTCGGCTTGCAACCCGATCGTCACCTTTGTTTGCCCGCAGGGGCCAGGGGGCGAGAACGTTGCCTCCCGTCGCCACGTTCTCCCACCCGTCGCGGTGGCCCGCCAGGTACCCCGCCCAGGCTCGGGCGGTCCCCCGCGGGGGGCTTAATGGGGGGATCCAAGCCCGTCCTTCCTGGGGCAGATGTGCTCCGCCCGAGCGTGCGTCGGGGAGGGGGGGGGCGCGGTCGCCCGGGGGAGTGGCTCCGGGGGGCGCGTCGTCATCCGAGCGAGCACGGCTCGCGGGCGAGGCTCGGAAAAGTGGCCTGGCGCGGCGCGCAGCTCGTTCTCGCTCGTTTCCTGCGCGCGGCACGCCTGGGATCGGGCGATCGCAGATTTCGGAGATGTCCGCCGCCGAGCGAGGCAGCACCGGCCGCACCTTGGGCAGGGCACCTCCCCCGATCCATGGATTTGGCGACCGCGCGCCGAATCCATGGATCGCTAGGCCAGGTTTCAAGGGCGCCTTCGAGGGCTCGAAGTTATTCGCGCTTCGCGGTTCGGATCCGATTCCTCCTCCTCCTCCTCCTCCTCCTCCTCCTCCTCCTCCTCCTCCTCCTCCTCCTCCTCCTCCTCCTCCTCCTCCTCCTCTTCCCCCCTGGGAGGCGGCGCGAGAGCGCGAAGTTATTCGCACTTCGCGCTTCGCGCAGCGCGAAGCGCGAAGTTGGGAGCCCTTGGATAGGAGCTGTGCAGGAGCCGAGATCCACGAGCGGACGCTTCGCCCTTTGTCGGCTTTGCTCCCCTCGCCGTGGCCACAGGGCTCTGGCGCCTGCGTGCGCGGGCGGTCGCGCCCGCGCGGGCGTGGTGGCACACTGCGCGCTGCGCTGCTGCCGAGAGCATGGCATTCCACAGTGGTGGTATATTGGCGTACTCTGAGTGTCCATGTTGAAAATCCTCCGCCTCCTCCTCCTCCTCCTCCTCCTCCTTCTCCTCCTCCTCATCCTCCTCCTCCCCCTCCTCCTCCTCCTCCCCTCCTCCCCTCTCCTCCTCCTCCTCCTCCTTCTCCTCCTCCCCTCCTCCTCCTCCTCCTCCTCCTCCTCCTCTCCTCCCCCTCCTCCTCCTCCTCCTCCTCCTCCTCCTCCTCCTCCTCCTCCTCCTCCTCCTCCTCCTCCTCCTCCTCCCTCTCCTCCTCTTCTTCCTCCTCCTCCTTCTCCCCCATTGTTTTTACGTATAAATAACTCTTCCCTGTCGCACCCCGATGCCGGTCGAAAGGGCGAACCAGGCGTTTCGCTTGAGATTTCCCTACCGTTTATGACCCGGCAGCTTTAACAATGGCAACAGCTTCACAGTTGGAGGGCGTGTGTTGCCAAAATGTGGCTCTCGCCTGAGCGCCGCGCGCATTCGTTTTAAGAATTTGCAAGAGCTCCACGGATTGAGGGCAGGCTGTTTTCGAAATGTGGTTATCGCCTTAGTGCCGCGCGCACTCGTTTTAAACATCCACAATTCCTTCACGGATTGATGGTGGCTCGTTTTCAAATATGGTTCTCGCTTTAGCGCCACGCACACTAGTTGAAAACAGTTGCAAGAGTTTTGCGGATCGAGGGCGGCTCGTTTTCAAAATGTGTTTCTCGCTTCAGCGCCGCGCACATCAGTTGCACGAAGTCGCAAGGGATACACGGATTCCGATGGTCAGCGTACCAGAAGCCGTGTTTTGGAAGGGTTCAGGATTGTAAGGGTGCGACAGTTACTTTGACTCGCGGTGTTGAAGTCCCAGGAACTGCGTCTTGGCACGATTCTGCATGGTCAAGACGCAAAAGTCAGATTGATCCGTGGCGTTGGAGTCCCGAGATTGTTGCTCTGGTATGCTTCAAAGTCTTCAAACGGTTGTTTCCCAACGAGGCAGTTCCCTCAGTGGAACTCAACCCTTGTATGTGGCCTGTGAAGAGGGAGCGTGGAGGGAGGGTTCATCCCAACATCGTTGATGAGTCCTGGGTTTGCACTGGTCCTCCTCCTCCTCCTCCTCCTCCTCCTCCTCCTCCTCCTGTCGCATCTCCATGTGGCCTAGAAGCCACTGGACAGGGGTCCTGAAACTCTGAGTCTTTGTTGGGCGGGTTTATCCCGAACCCTTCGGTTGCAAGGGCCGATCCCAGTGCACTACTTGGGCATCTAATTCGAACACGTACCAGAAGTTTCGTACGTTTCGATCCTCCTCCTCCTCCTCCTCCTCGTCCTGCTACTGCTCGCCCACCGCGTCATTCTTCAGCGATTAGGTTAACTCATTCCTGCTGGGCACCCTGAGGCGGATGGTGAAGGCAGTATCTCTGCGAATGGCAGTCGTATAGCTCAGCGACGAGATAGCCTAGGGGTGCTGCTGGTCCAGGATGGTTCGTGACTCGATGGTGACGTTCGAGATTGTATTCTCAGTCGCTCTGCCCTCCGCCGTGTTGGTCCGGGTTGTGGTGGTGTCGCGCGCGGCCGCGAAGTGAGAAAGCGAGGTTGTCCGTAGCACCGCTGCTCACCGACGTGCTGGCCGCACCGTTGCCGATGCCGCGCGTGAAGTGCGGATGGTTATGGCGGCAGGAGGGGGAGAGAGAAGGGGATTGGTTTTGACCATGATAGCCGCGGCAGGGCTGGCCGCAGTGCTGCCAGCAGGGGGGCGCGGAGGCTGCGGGAGGGGTCGCGGCGGCAGGTCACGCCGTTTTGATGTGGAGCGGGCGTTACTTGGAAGGTGCAGCGGCGCTTGGTGGCGCGGCGGAGGAGCGGAGGTCTTGCGCGTCGTCCGCGCTTCTCTGGTGCCACGGAGGCCCCCTCTGCCAGTGGAGGCCCCAGGCCTCCACCACCACCTCCAGACGCCTCCAAAAGGGAGCCTCGGGGGGCCGGGGTGTGGCTCTGCCTCGCGCCTCGCTGCGAAGTCGCGAGGGCGCGTGCCTTCGGGGGCCCTTCGTCGCGAAGAACTTGGACTCCGAGTCGGCGCAGCCAAGATCATGATGCCTTCTCTGCAGAGGGAAGGTGGCCCCCCGGTCTCGGTTGTGGCAGCGTTCAGGCCACCCGAGTGGCCAAGACAGAGCCGCAGGCCGTCCCGGGCCCTCCTCCTCCTCCTCCTCCTCCTCCTCCTCCTCCTCCTCCTCCTCCTCCTCCTCCTCCTCCTCCTCCTCCTCCTCTCCGTGAGGCCCCAGCTGGGTCCCTCACGGGGGGGTGGCGTTACAGTCCGCGGGGCGAGCCTCGAGGCCGTCCGTGTCCCGCTGACCCACTCCCGCCTGGCTGGCCGCCGCTGGCGTTGCCGCTACGGCCGAAGAGGTTGAGGGCGAGGCGGGGAGGAGGAGTGAGGAGGAAACAAAGAAGCGGGAGGTGGAGGAGGAGGAGGAGGAGGAGGAGGAGGGCCAGTGCACACCCAAGACTCATAACGATCTTGCAATAAACGTCCAAGCTCCCTCTTCATAGGCCCCATACAACGTTTCATTATCACTGAATGAAGTGCCCCGTTGGAAAACAACCGTTCAAAAATCCTGAACTCTGCCAGAAAATCACTCCTAGGACTTCAACGCCGCAAATCATCGTTTCCGCGTCTTGACGACCCAGCATCGTGCCAGAACACCGCTTTTGGAACTTCAACACCACGAATCGACATAACTGATCCGCCCTAACTAGGGCGAGAGCGTGAGAGCCACATTTTGAAAACGACTCGCCCTCCGTCCTTGAAGCTCTTGCTTTTTGTTTTCTGTTTGACGAATGTGCGCTTTGCTGACGCGAGCACCTCATTTTGAAAGCCACTTGTCCTCCATCCGTGAAGTTCTTGCATGTGTTTGAACGGATGTGCGTGGCGCTAAGGCCAGAGCCACAGTTTGAAAATCACCCGCCCTCAATCCGTGAATTTGTTGCATCTTGTAACAACGGATGCACGCGGCGCTCAGGCGAGAGCCTCAGTTTGAAAAACCGCCCGCCCTCCATGTGTGAAACTGTTGCTTATTTCTCAGCTTCAGGATCATACATGGTATGGAAGCCTCACGCGAAGCGCCCGGCCCGTCCTTCCGATTGGCCTCGGGGTGCGACAGGAAGGAGTTACTCAGCATGAAAACGAATGGAGGAGGAGAAAGGGGAAGAGGAAGAGGAGGAGGAGGAGGACGACGACGACGAGGCGGACAATATTGAGGTGCAAGGAGAGGAGAGGAGGAACAGGGATGAGAAGGGGAAGAGGCAGGGGAGGGGGAAGAGGAAGGGCAGCCGGAGCAGGAACGGGAGCGGGACGGGTGAGCAGGACAGGGGGGGAGGACGAGGATGCAGAGCATGAGGAGGACTTGGGACCTTGAGGCGGAGGGCGGGGGCCAGTGAGCGGAGGCGGGGAGGGAGGAGGAGGAGGAGGAGGAGGAGGAGGAGGAGGAGGAGGAGGAGGAGGAGGAGGAGGAGGAGGAGGAGGAGGAGGAGGAGGAGGAGGAGGGGGGGGAGTGAGGAAGAGGAGAAAGCGGGCGGCAGAGCAGGATCGGCAGTGGCAGGATCGGCAGCGGCGGCGCGCGCCGCCAGGCCGGGTGTCCCGGTCCCCCTCGAGGATACCGCAGCGAGCCCGCTCGTCCTCCTCGAGGGCGTCCCGGCGCAGCGGGTCCGCTTCGAAGTCGAAAGGGCGCCGAAGGTCAGCACCCTGCCAGGGTGCACATGTAGATCTACATATGTGTGTATAGATAAAACACATATATTCATACATTCGCACACGTACGTATCTATATATATATATATATGTCTACAAACGTGTATATTTACGCATGTACACACATGTGTAAATACATTTATATATATATATATATATATATATATATATATATAGCGTACACACATGTCGGAGGTTGGGGGTGAGATCGCAGTGGAACGGAGATCCCCAACCGGGAAATCGTTTCGTTTCGTTCGTGTCGCGCGTGCGGGCGAGGCGAAGCTGCGCGGGCGCGCGAGAGGACTGAACCCGCCGTTGCTAGGGCGAAGTCAAGACAAATGATTCTCCCCCTCCCGTCCATCCAGCGGTGGCCCGCGGTGTCCCGCGGTGTCCCGTGGTGTCCGCCGTTGCTAGAGCGAAGTCAAGACAAATGATTCTCTCCCGCCCGCCCGTCCGTCAGTCCGTCCGTCCGGCGGTGGCTCGCGGTGTCCCGCGGTGTCCCGTGGTGTCCCGTGGTGTCCCGTTGAGTGAGATCGATAGTGCGATCGATAGTGGGATCGATAGTGAGATCGATGTGGTGCCCCGAGGTGTCCCGTGATGTCCCGTGGTGTCCCAAAAAGTGAGATCGATCGTGCGATCAATTGTGAGATCGACAGGTGTCCCGTGGTGTCCCGTGGTGTCCCGTTGAGTGAGATCGATAGTGGGATCGATAGTGAGATCGATGTGGTGCCCCGAGGTGTCCCGTGGTGCCCCAAAAAGTGAGATCGATAGGGGGATCGACAGGTGTCCCGTGGTGTCCCGTGGTGTCCCGTTCAGTGAGATTGATAGCGACATCGATATTGAGATCGATGTGGTGTCCCGTGGTGTCCTATGGTGTCCCGTTGAGTGAGATCGATAGTGAGATCGATAGTGAGACCGATAATGAGATCGGCAAGGGCCCCGTGGTGTCCCATGGTGTCCCGTAGTGTCCCGCGGTGTCCCGTTGAGTAAGATTGATAGAGAGATCGATAGTGAGGTCGACGAGTGTCCCGTGGTGTCCCGTGGTCTCCCGTTGAGTGAGATCGATAGTGAGATCGATTGAGTCAGATGTTGGTTCCCGCCTCTCTCCCCTTCCTGTGCGGGGGTCACGATGTGGGTTGGCATGCATGCACGGGTGAGGCCGAAAACAAATGAACCGGCGTATGAGTGAGTCTGATTGCGCACCAGTCTGAGTCTGAGTTGTTTTGTGCCGCTCTTTGTCGTTCTCTATTGCGCTCTGCTGCTCTCTGGCACCCTCTGCCACTCACTGCAGCAATCCGCCACTTCTGGCCACTTTCGATCATCCCCTGCCGCTATCTGCCAATCTCTGACGCTCCCTGCCGCTCCCCTTTCGGGGGGGCCAAGTGCCATGCCTGTCTGAAAAGGGTGGTGGGGGGCCAGAAGAAGAGTTTAGCCTGGGAGATCCCCGCTACCTGAACGCGAACAGGTCCGCGTAATGTCCCCTGGCGGCTCCCCCGTTGGGACGCCTAGGCGCAATGTCTGCTACATCGCGGTCGTCATGGAGCTCTTGAAGGAGAGACGTTTGGGGTGGCCAAAGTGGCGTTTTGCTTACGATGTCCGAACAGCCTGCACGCGAAATAATAGATGGACAGTGGCGCATACGCATATCGTTGCCCATGCATGTGAATGTACATGTGCACGCGTGTGATTATACATTCACATACATACCCCTATGTATACAAATGTAAGTATGCATATGTAAACATATGTATAGATGCATGCATGTGCTCATGGATACGTGCAAGCTCGCATTACTCAAGGATGCGGCGCAACCGCCGCCATTAATTGAAAGGCGCATGGACTCCAGAGGCACACGAGCGCCGATGCGAACGCAAAGGCGAGCAAAGCCAGACAGACGAGGCTGCAGGCCACCACAGGAGGCAGGAACGCACACGCAGGGCGCGCACAGCCCGCCTGGCGGACCCGCCCCTGGAGCGCGAGCGGAGGCGCGCGAGCTGGGGCGCGACAACGGACAGACGCTCGGAGCACGGGAGAAGGGCGAGCGGAGCACTTCGCGAAGGTTCGGAGTCGGACGGGTCGGCATTGCAGTGCTTACCAGCGGGAGCCAGGGGCTCGTCGTGCCGACGATGCGACCCAGATCACTGTCACCAGGAAGGGCTCGGAGATCTGTGAAGTGGGGACCCTCTGTGCATCCGAGTTGGCACAGGAGCCGCGGACGAGCGACTCACCTTCACGCTTGAAGTCCTGGAGTTGGATCCCGTGGCAACTGCAAGCATTGGCAGCCGACTGGTAAATATACGATACATGGTGGATGCCCGTCAGACAAACTCAGACGGTGAATATGCACGATGCGCGGCGGATGTGCACGACACCGTCTCACGGCGACGGCGAGGTGCCCCCCCCCCCGCCTTGCTAGAGAGGGCGTGAAAGCATTGGACTCCACATCGTCCTGACTTGGTTTTCTGACAGTTTTGCCCGTGCGTAGTGCCCGTACCGTTCCAGTGATGGCTCAAGCCGTTCCTTCTTGTCGCGCATGTTGCGAAAAGGATCTCTCAGTCATGCGTTTTGCGATGGCCGCCTGAGCCCTCCGCGCCCGCAGAGGGCGGCAACCGCCCAGCGGGCTCCGAGACATCCACTGCATGGCCACTGGACCCGCAGCGCTGTATGACGAGCTGGTGCTCGCATCTCACACAGAGCTCGGTGCTCCAGCCCTGCACCATACGCCCGCAGTTGGCGCACCACGAATGTGCTTCTGCCGCGCCGCTTGTCGCGCGCCGAGCAGCGCGCCCTGCTGTCCACCGTGGAGCCGACGCCAGCCCCGCCTCTACCGTCGAGCACTGGAGGATGTGCCTGGTTGACAGAAGCATTTGGTGGTGGCTCTGGGAACGCCAGGAAGGAGTCGGGATGGGCGCGCGGCACGCACGCGTGTGTTTGCAACGTGTCCGTCCAAGCCTCGGTAACGTAGTGCTGCAAACAGTCTTCGACCAGAACCGTGAGGTGGCGCTCAGACGGGATCGTCTCGTTGAAGCCGCGCACGGCTCCCAGGCGCGTGATGTCCACGATGCAGGGCGCAGAGCCGCCTTTGCGATCTCCACCTTGGCGCCCACACGATCGCATCAGCCGTCGACAATGTCAAGTCTGGCCTTCTCCCCAGGGGAGGCGCAGTGGCAGACCCCGTGGACCGCGTCGACCAGGACGCCTGGGAGCACAGAGGCCATGCCAGCATTGCCACCGAAGGCGGAGGTCCGCAGCGGAGCTCCGCGCCAGCGCCACGCCGCGCGTGCGGAGGAATGGTCTGCCCGTGAGTGCGCCGAGGCCGAAGTGAGCGGCGGTCATACTCCACAGCACGGGGGCAGGCCAACACGGCATGACTTCCGAGCGAGCCCGAGGCTCGAGCCGAACGGCTTGTGCCAGAAGGGATACGGCTGCAGGTCTGGGCCCGCCCCTCTCTTCCCCCCTTTCGAGAAGTCGACCCCAGGCTTGTCCTCGCATGGGCTCTTCGGGGCTCAAGAGACGTGGGGCAATGCAAACGGGGGTCAGTCAGAGCGCCGGATCTTGCAGGATCCTGCAGAGCCAGGGGTGCACTGACCCACGTTAGGGTGCAGCATCCAACAGGATCCTGCGGGATCTTGCAGGATCCTGCAAGGCCTGACTCACCCGGGTTTGGATTGACCCAGGTCAGGAGGTCCCCGAGTTCTGGCGGATCCAGCCGTGGCGAAGAGGGCACCCTCAGATGCCCGAAGCAAACAGCGAAACAAGCATAGCCATGATCCTCAGTCCTGGATCTTCGAGTATCGATGGCTTGACCGCGTCGACGACGGCGACGGCGGCGGCGGCCACAGCAACGACGGCGACGACGACGACGACGACGACGGCGACGGCGGCGACGACGACGACGACGACGTCGGCGACGTCAGCGGCCGTGCTCTCTGGTAGCATCAGGGGCAACGCTAGGGGGGATAGGCTTGGAGGGGGATGCATCGGCCCCCAATCCCCTATTGATCGCCGGTAGGGGCTCGATACCCAACCCTGTCTAGGAGCTTGCGGATTCGGGATCGGGGGCGTGTCGTCGTCGTCGTCGGCGATGCATCGCCGATTCGAGCTTGATGGTCCCCCCCCTGAGCTGATGCCCCCTGAACGTCGCCCCTTGGTGTTCGGCTCCTAGCTGGGCTCACTGGCGGCCGTTCGGGACGATCCGGGCAGCCCTGGAACGCTTGCGGCGAGGCGCAGCCGCTGGAAGGCATCTTGTGGCTGGAAGTCCGCCGAGACCCGGCGAAAACCTCCGAAGACCTCGAACCTCGAACCCGGGCGTTTCGTTTAGAAATATGCCCGGGAGGCTTCAGACCCTGGAGACTTGTCTGATGAGGTCGGCGGTGATATCCATGGCCAAGCCACCGCTTGTGGCCCACCAGCTTCCAGACCCTGGATTACTTATCCATTGGTTCTTTACCCAACGCCCCCATCGTAACGTTGCCCCTCAGCGTGTTGCGCCAAAGGTCACCTCCCGCAGGCGGCGACGGCGACGGCGGCGACGACGGCGACGACGACGACGGCGACGACGGCGACGACGACGACAGCGGCCGTGCCCGCTGGGAGCAGCCCGTGCCGAAGGTCCGCCTCCCGCAGGCGGCGGCGAGCGGGCTCGCGCTCGCCGCCACCGCCGCCGCCCTACGGGCCGCCGGGGACCCGCCGCCGGTCCCCGCCACCGGCCTCGCCCGCGCCGCCCCTGCTGCGTGTCCTGCGCCGCCGCCGCCGCCATCGAACGCCGTCTACTGGCGGCGCGCACAAGAGGGTGGCGCGAGCGAGGGGACCCAAAAGAGGGCCTCGAGGTGGAAGACCTGCTGATTTTGCGCCGGTGTTCGAAGAGTTCTCGTGTGATCGCGCTCTCGTGCTTCCGACCGCCCCAGGCGGGCTTCAACGGGCGGGTGACTTCTAAGAGGGCAGCAGGGGGAAGGAGACGGGACACTACCACCACCATCACCACCTCCACCACCATTACCACCACCACCACCACCACCACCAGGGGGGCCATCTCCGGCGATGAGGTCAACGGTGCCTGCCCGAGCGTGAACAAGGAGGATGTTTTGAGCGAGAGGGGGGACCCCCCCCTGACTCCTCCCGCTGGTGGTCCCTTGTGGTGGTGGCGTCGCTTTTCCTTGTTCCTACGGTTGAATGAATAATTTGCTGGTGATTTTTCTGACGGACCGTAAGAAGGTTAGTAGCTGGGGCACGGATCGCCCTCGTCGCCGTTTCAGACGACAGCCCACATTTCCTGAACGATCTGCCCTTGTCAAAGCTCGGTGCTGGAACCCACGGCGTCATGTTCGTTGGAACCTAGCCGTCGTGATTGAATAATCTGCTGGGACCTTTCCCCCTCGTGAAAATTGGGTGCTGGAGCCCACTCAGTGGGCTGCTGGAGCCACTGCCCCTCGTAAACATTAAGTGCTGGAACCCACCCCTCCTTGACGGCACATTCTGCTGGAGCTTTTTTCCCACGAAAATTGCGTATTGGCGTCACACTACGCTTGGAGTTTTGCTTGTGTTTATCCATAAATGCGTAATTGATCAAAAACACACATGTGCACATATACAAAGATATTACATGAATACGTAGACCAAGAAGTACATCCATTCGTAAATGCATTAGCACTTCAAATGTCGGGGCGGGGGGACGGCACGGGGCCCAGGGATGGTTGCCTTTGCACTGGAGCCACGCCTCGCTCTCAAACGAGGGCAGTGCGTGTGCGTGAGCGCGCGTGCGTGCGCGTGCGCGTGCAGTCGAGCGCGCGCATGTGCGCGTTCGTGCGCGTGTGCGCGTTCGTGCGCGAGCGCGCGCGCGAGCCCAAGCCCGACCGCGACCCAAACCCCGAGCGCGAGCTGGAGACCGAGCCCGACCCAGAGCCCCATCCCGAGCGCCTGCGCGTGCGCGCGCGCCCTTCCCAACATGTCAGCACGCGGTCAACAATCTCACTACCAACCATATTCACCTGCCTGGACCTAATATGTTGCAGGTGAGATGCTTAACGGATTGTAAGAGGGTTAATGGCTGGGGCGCCGATCGTCCAGTCTGACCTTTCAGACGACAGCCCACCCTTCGTGTCGGCTTCATCTGTTGGGTCGATCTCCCATGGTCAAAATCTGGTACTGAAGCCGACGGCGTGGGCTGCTGGAACCACTGTCCCTGATAAACATTGGACGCTGGAGCCCACCCTTCTTGACTGCATAGCCTGCTGGAACCATTGTCCCTCGTGGAATGGGGGCTGGAACCCATGCCGCGGGCTGCTGTAACCACTGCCCCTCGGAAAGAGCGGGTGCTGGAACCCACCCTCCTCGACGGCAGAACTTGCTGGACTTCCCCCTCGTGGAAATTGGCCGCTGGAACCACACCCCGCTTAGGCCGATTAACATATAGATAAGGTCGGAGGGGCGGCACGGGGCCCAGGGGCGGATGTCTTTGTATTGTAGTCGTGCCTCGTTCTCAGACGGGTGAGCGTGCGCATGTGGGCGCGCGCGTGCCTCCTTGGGCCTTCGAGCTTCGTGGACACATTCGTTTCGGCGGCTGCCCTTGGTCACGCCATCTTGATGTCCAGCGATGTTGGTCGACCGTTTCCTCGAAGTGGTGGCGGGGTGGTGGCGTGTTTGCGTGGGTGGGAGAAAAGAAACTTCCTCCCTCTCCCGTGGTGTTCTGGGAGGGCCCGCGGCTCCCGGGCGCGGGCGTGCGAGGATGATGCCCGGCCCTGGCGGCAAGGGCAGCTGCAAGGGCGGCTGGCCTGGCGGCTGCAAGGGCGGCTGGCCTGGGATGCCTGACATGATGGGCCACAGGCCTCCCTCGCGCCACGGAGGAGAGGGGAAAAGGGAGTAAGAGGGGCAACGCTAAGGTTAATTCGGGCATGTCCCTCTACAGAAGGAGTATTCCACAATGGTCGACAAAATAGTACGGGGACGTTTTTTTTCCGACCATGCCTGGCTACCTTTGAGCAGTTGTTGGCTGTGTTTTGTTGGTCTGTCGGAATCCGCCTGCAGGAGGACGTGCCCGACCTCATGCCAAGGGGCGACAGGCTCGGGGTGGGATGCGTCGACCCCCTGTCGCCAAAATTGATGGCCGAGGGGGGGGGGCTCGACAGCCCGCCCCGCCCAGGAGCGTGGGGGTTCGCCATCGGGGGTCGATCGCCGCTCTGTCGGCGATGTGTCGCCGATTCCAGGTCGGGGCGCCCCCTCCTGAGCCAGTGACCCCCTCGTGCCGCTGCCCCTTTCGGAGGGGAGGGGGTGGGAGGGGGCTCCCAGAGGCACAGGAGGCCTGCTCTCCCGTCGGGCCCGGCCATTCGTGATGTGTGTTCGTGAGGTTGTTCTGTTTTGGCCCCGTAGCCGATCGCTTGCAGGACGGGGGAGGGGAGGGCGGGAGGGAGGGCAGGAAGGGAGGGAGGAGAAGAAGATAGAGATGAGGGAGAGGGAGGGAGGAGGGCAAGCGTCGAGCAGGGCAATGATTGCGAGAGGGTACTCGATGCATGGTAGAGCACGGCATGGCATGAGCGTAGCATGCCATAGCATGGCGTGACATTTCGCAGTGAGGCATTACATCACAAACCAATGCTCACGCAAAGCACGGCATCGCACAGCGGCGCAGCACATAACACCGCACAGCATGTCATGGCATGACGACAGGCTCGTTGGAGGGAAAGTGGATCGTCTTCGAGAGATCTGGGCCGGCCTGGAATCGTGGCTCCATGTCTAGCTCCATGGGCTCCCCGAACGGCTCCCCGCAAGGCGGGGCTGATGGAGGGCACCTGCTGGCTCTGCTTTCAACATCGCCTTCTCAAAGCAGAAACGGGTCTCCCGCTCGATACTTCCTGAAAGCGACGACGCTCCAAAGTGGGGGGTCCTCTTCGGCCCAAAAAGTCAACGGTCCGACAGTGTAATCACTTCGGATGTTTTCCCCGGAAAGGGCATGAGCCCAGGGTTCTCTTTCAGTTGGTTTACCTCCGGGTTTGACTTGGGGCCAGCGAATTTCTTTTGGGAAAAATATCGAGGTCGAGCTGGGCCGGCGAATTAAAATTTGAGGATGTCCCTAGCGAAACGTTGGTTTTTCAGAATTGGTTGAGGATGTCTCGAGCGAAATGCTGGTTTTGTGTTATAGATTGTCCTCTCCTGGGGACCAGAATTCAGAGGATCTCTGAAGTGAAATGCTTGTTTTCACGTGCCCAGGTCTTGAGGATATCTCGAGCGAGACGCTTGGTTTCACGCCTCCAGGTTGCCCAGGCAGAGGTCTAGCGCCAGGATTTGTTGAGGATGTCTCGAGTGAGACGCTTGGTGTCACGCGTCCTCGTCGCCCAGGCGGATGTCTAGCATGAGGATGTGTTGAGGAAGTCTCGATCGAGACGCTTGTTTGCACGTGTCCAGATTGCCCAGGCGGATGCCTAGCATGAGGATGGGTTGAGAATGTCTCGAGAGTTACGTTTGTTTTCACGTGTCCAGGTCGCCCAGACGGATGTCTAACACGAAGATGTGTTGAGGATGTCTCGAGCGAGACGTTTGCTTTCACGTGTACAGGTCGCCCAGGCGGATGTCTAGAACGAGGATGTGTTGAAACCGTCTCGAGCAAAACGCTTGTTGTCACGTGCCCAGGTCACCCAGGCGGACGTCTCACATGAAGGTGTGTTGAGAATGTCTCGAGCGAACCACTTGTTTTCACGTGTCCAGTTCGCCCAGGCGGATGTCTAGCATGAGAATGCGTTGAGGCTGTGTTGAGCGAAACGCTTGTTTTCACGTGTTCAGGTCGCTCAGGTGGATGCCTAGCATGAAGCTTTTGACCGGACGTCTCGAGCGAAACGCTTGTCCCCAGCACGTTCCGTAGCGCGTCCCCTTGGCACGTCCCGCGGTGCGTCCCCATGGCACGTCCCCTGGCACGTCGCTTGGCGCGTCCGTTGAGACGGTCCGCTGCACGTCCTCCTGGCATGTCCCCCTGTCAATTAGCTCTGGGGCAGCTACTATGTGCCGAGGCAGCTCGAGCTTAAGATCCAGATCAGTTCGGTCAGGACTCGGATGCAAAGGAGGACTCGATCCACGACGCTATAGAGCACAATCGCGGCATGGCACATCGCAATTCAGCACGGCGCAGTACAGCCCTCGGCACGGTACATCAAGATCGATACACTCAGCATTGCAACCTGGCACATTCCCTGGCACGTTCCGTGGGGCGTCCCTTGGCGAGTCCCCCTGGTACGTCGCGTGGCGCGTCCCTTGGCACATCCCGCGGCACATCCATTGGAACGTTCCGTAGCGCGTCCCCTTGGCACGTCCCGCGGTGCGACCCCATGGCACGTCCCCTGACACGTCGCCTGGCGCGTCCGTTGAGACGTTTCGCGGCGCGTCCTCCTGGCATGTCCCCCTGTCAATTAGCTCTGGGGCAGCTACTATGTGCCGAGGCAGCTCGAGCTTAAGATTCAGATCAGTTCGGTCAGGACTCGGATGCAAAGGAGGACTCGATCCACGACGCTATAGAGCACAATCGCGGCATGGCACATCGCAATTCAGCCCGGTGCAGCACAGCACAGCCCTCGGCAGGGTACATCAAGATCGATACACTCAGCATTGCATTTGCCCGTCACCCAATCAGGTGTCTTTGAAAACGCTGCCATGCGTTACATTTCTATATTCCTTTCCGGGTTCGTGGGTCGATCATGTTTTTGTGGGGGGGGCATGTTCCAGATCTCGAGACTTATTCAAGACGCTTCGCGTTCACCGCCCGCCCATTCTTGCTCTCGCTGGATGAGGCGAGGCAGCTGCAAGATTGGATAAACATAGACGGACAATAGCACAAGACACCGTAGGTTTTTCTATGGTTCTCCCGATTGGTGGCCCGGATGGTCGTTCCCAGGATGCCTAATCCACTGTAGGAGGCCAGAGATAGCCAGAACGGCGCCGAAGACCAGCCAAAGACGCGTCGGAAACGGCCCCAATGGCACCAAGGAGGGCCGAAGAGGGCCCAGAGAAGGGCCCAAAAGGGACCCAAGACGAGCCCGAGGCGGCCCAGGCGGGCTTCTGGACGACACAAGCGCGAGCATCCCCGCATGGGACCGCAGCCCCGTCCGTCTTCCGGTAAAAACCTTGCCGGTTCTGGGCCGTTTTGGGCCCCGCTTGGGGGCCTAAATTGAGCCCGGGATCGTCCAAAATTGTTTCCTGAGCGTGTCCAAAGACGGTGTCGAAGTGTACACGCTGGAAGATGCCCCAGGCGAGCCCGGAAGTCAGCCAGAAGAGGCGTCCGGGCGATCCCTGGCGAGGCGAAAATCATCCCAAATTGGTGTGTTTGGCTATATTTTTGAGGTTTCCAGTCTGTACGCGTGATTGAGCCCAAGAAGCGTTCTTGAGGGCCCCAGGAGTTGATTTTGGAGCCCTAGAGGGGCCCCGAAGGGGCCAAAATAGAGCCCAAATGCGCCCGAAAAGTGTTTTGAAAGCGGTGTGAAAATCGAACTCGTCTTGGACGCTGTTTGGAAGCCGTGTTGGGGCCGGAAAAGGGGATGGAGCGCAGCCGGGCGGCGGCGGCGGCACGCCTTTGCAGCTGATGGCGGCGCCCGCCGCGCCGTGGCCCACCGAGTCACCGCAAGCCTGTCGATGGGACGGTCAATCACCACAAGCCTGACGCGGGGGCGGTCAACCACCACATCACTATATCTCTTCGGCCTCACAGTTCGAAGCCATGTCTGGTGCTGCTGCCGCCGCGCTTCCCCGCGAGGCTACGGACCTTTCCCACAGCTTGTTCGCGACGAAGGCCCGGTAAGCCCAGCGCAGGTCGACCTCAGCTCCCGCGTCGCTGGGGGCGGCTGCCCAGTCGGCCACGGAGGCCACGGCGCCAGGTTCTCCAAACGCCTCGGCAGGGGGTGGGGGGAGCGCGTCGATGAGAATCGGCTGGGCGCCGTCGGAACCCCGCCTCGGAACGCGGCGAGCGCGCGCAGGGCCCCGAGCGCCCGCAGGCGTTCGTCGGGCCACGGGCCGGCGCCCCCCTCCACCGCGGCGGCGGAAGTGGCCCAGCGCTCGCGGAGGAGGTCGGGGCAGTGCTCGGAGGGGCCGTGCACTTGGGCCGCCTCCTGCCCGTCGAGCCCGGCCGCGCCGCGCGGGTCCCGATGGGCTCTCGGGAAAGCCTCGAAGGTGGGAGGGCGCCAAGGCGGGGTCGGCGGGGACCTCGGAGCCCCTCCACTAACGAGCGACGGCGAAATCTGCAGGGGGGCCACGGGGACCTACCAAGGCCCCCACTCCCGCTGCATATCCTCGGCCGAGAAGATTGGGGCAGGCGCGGGCTCCCGGCATCGCCTGGGCGGCCGCGGCCGCCGTCCAGGCGCCCCACTTGCGGAATTGAGGCCGCCCCGTCTTGAGGGGAGGAGGAGAACCTCCGCTTCAACCATGAGTGGGAGGAGGAGGAGAAGCCAGGCGAGGGGCCCCCCCCAATCGTCCGCTGCCGCGGCAAGTCGCGCCGCTTCGTCCCGCGAGGGCGCGCGGACCCACTCGTCGCGGGCCGGTCTCTTGAGGCGGAGCGCCTGCCTCGGCCGGGGGGGGGAGGGAGGCCAACGTCGCACACCACCCCGAAATTGTGGGGGTGAGCCGGCAGGGGGGACGAGTCCACCACCTTCGCCGAGCAATCCAGGCCGACGAGGCGCGAGGGGGACGTGAGGGCAGCCGTGGTCGGGGGGGTGTCCGCAACCGCAGGGAGCCTCGGCGATATCGCTGTACCCCGCTGTCCAGTTAGGACGTCCACCACCACCCCAGGGAGATGGCCGGCAACGCTGGCCAAGGCGTCTAATGACCCAGCAAGCCAAACCGAATCTTCGTGGCCGGCGGACGCGTATACGCAGACGACACCGCCCACCCGTCGAAACCGCGCTGGCACCGGCGCCAATCGTCGGGGCTCGAGGCGTGCGCACCTTGTCCCGCATGCCATTCATGTCTATCGCAAGGAAGCTATACGAGTTCCGGCGGTAACCAAGGTTGACGGTTTACCGCCGGCTCCCAATCGATGAGCTCGAGGAATTCCGGCGCGGGGTGGAGCTAGAGACTCGCAGAGCGAAAAGCGAAGCATGGCCAGCCGCCGCAAGATCGCCGTGCCTCCCTGCGGGGGGCGGGGGGGGTACCGAGGGAAGTTCTTCGCCGAGTCGTGCCGCAGGATCCCCGGGACCCAGACTGCCAGGCGGCGGGGTGGGCGACCACCTCCTCCTCCTCCTCCTCCTCCTCCTCCTCCTCCTCCTCCTCCTGCTCCTCCTCCTCCTCCTCCTCCTCCCTCCTCCTGCTCCTCCTCCTCCTCCTCCTCCTCCTCCTCCTGCTCTCCCTCCTCTCCTCCTCCTCCTGCTCCTCCTGCTCTCCTCCTCCTCCTCCTCCTCCTCCTCCTCCTCCCTCCTCCTCCTCCTCTCCTCCTCCTCCTCCTCCTCCTCCTCCTGCTCCTCCTCCTCCTCTCCTCCTCCTCCTCTCCTCCTCCTCCTCCTCCTCCTCCTCCTCCTCCTCCTCCTCCTCCTCCTACCTCACCCTCTGTTCCTCCTTCTCCTCCCCTTCCCCCCTCAAAATCTGTCCTCGGACCCTTCCCAGGGTCCAGCCTTGAAGTCTTTGATGCCTCATCGGAGGAGGTGGAGGCAGGATGATAATGATGATGATGATGATGATGATGATGATGATGATGATGATGATGATGATGATGATGATGATGATGATGATGATGATGACGGTGATGATGATGGTGATGATGATGATGTTGATGATGCTGCTGACGATGATGATGGTGATGATGATGATGGTGATGATGATGATGGAGATGAGGAGTGTGGTGCTGATGCTGTTGATAATGATGGTGACGATGATGTTAATGATGATGATGACGATGATGATGATGATGATGATGATGATAATAAGTATGACGGTGATGGTGATGGTGATGGTGATGATGATGGTGATGTTGATGCTGCTGATGATGATGATGATGATGATGATGATGATGATGATGATGATGATGATGATGATGATGATGATGAGAAGGCGAAGGAGGAGGAGGAGGAGGAGGAGCAAGAGGAGGAGGAGGAGGAGGAGGAGCAAGAGGAGGAGGAGGAGGAGGAGGAGGAGGAGGAGGAGGAGGAAAAGAGCAAGAGGAGGAGGTGGAGGAGGAGAAGGCACCCCCCTTGTGCGGCGCCGAGGGGCCCATCCGGCTTCCCGCCCGGCTGGGCCGGGCCCCCGCGGGGCCTTCCGGGCTTCGGTGCCCTGCCACCGCCCGGCATGCCGCCCGGCATGCGGCCCGGCATGCGGCCCGCGCCTGGAGCGCAGCCGCTGCCGCCATCGTCGTCATCGTCGTCCTCCTGCTCTTCCTGCTCCTCCTGCTCCTCCTCCTTCTCCTCTTCCTGCTCCTCCTCCTCCTCCTCCTCCTCCTCCTCCTCCTCCTCCTCCTGCTCCTCAACCTCCTCCTCCTCCTCCTCCTCCTGCTCGTCGTCATCGTCGTCCTCCTCCTCCTCCTGCTCCTCCTCCTCCTGTTCGTCCTCCTCGTACTCTTTCACGGCATGGTGGTGCTGGGCTGAGGTGGCGGCGACAGTGATAATGACGATTGTTTGGGCTACCTTCTCTCCCTCCTCCTCCTCAGCCTCTTCCTTTTTCCTCTTATTGTATATACATGCCATTCCAGCACTCACCACACTTATAGATAAATTCCTTTCTGTCACACTCCCAGACGTTTCGGCAGGGCGGGCCAGGGGGTTCGACAGAGGCTTCGTCGCCACCCGATCATGAGGCCTGAAATGTGCAACAGGTGCAAGACTGGAACACATGTCATTTTCGACATGGAGTTCGTGCATTAGCGCCGCGCGCAACCGTATTCGAAGCCTGCGACTGTTTAAGCTGATGGAGGGAGTCCTTTTCAAAATGGAGCTCTCGCCCCGTAGCCCAGCGAACATTTGTCGCAACAAAAAACAATCACCGCAGTGATGGAGGACGGCTCCTGGTCCTGAATTCTGTTTTGTTCTGGAAGTCAGAAGCCTAAGCATATGCAGCAGCCCCACGGGTGGAGAGCGGCTCCTTGTCAATGTCGGGCTACCGTTTGGGATCATGTCGAGCGAGGGTCATGGCGAGAAGCGTAAACTTGCACAAGAGTTGCACGAGTGCGGTCGGTCTTCTTTCAAAACAAGGATGTCGCATACCTTTCGCATTCCCTTCTGAGAAGGATGCATGGCTGATCCTTTTCAAAGCGGAGCTCTCGCCTGAATGGCTGGCCCATGGCAACCTGGCATTTCAAATGGTGTTCTCTGTAATACTTAGCTCGGCGAAAGACCCAACCATATGCAGTTGTGGGTATCGCATTCGGAGAAGCCCCCTATGGGGCCACGAAGCGCTGTACTGGGTGGGGGGGACGCATGCGAACTGCGCCACTGGGACCTTCGGTGGAGCTCTCTATGGGGCCACGAAACGCTGTACTGGGTGCGGGGAGGACGCATGCGAACTGCGCCACTGGGACCTTCGGTGGAGCTCCCTATGTGGCCACGAAACGCAGTACTGGACGCATGCGAACTGCGCCATTGGGACCTTCGGTGGAGCTCCCTATGGGGCCACGAAACGCTGCCCTGGGTGGGGGAGGGAGGGGAGCGCATGCGAACTGCGCGACTGGGGCCTTAGGTGGAGCTCCCTATGGGGCCACGAAACGCTGCCATGGGTGGGGGAACCACATGTTTGTTGTGCCATTAGGACCTTCGGTGGAGCTCCCTATGGGGCCACGAAACGCTGTCCTGGGTGGGGGAACCGCATGCGGGCTGTGCCACTGAGACCTTCGGTGGAGCTCCCTATGGGGCCACGAAACGCTGCCTGGGTGGGGGAACCGCATGCGGGCTGTGCCACTGGGACCTTCGGTGGAGCTCCCTATGGGGCACGAAACGCTGCCCTGGGTGGGGGAACCGCATGCGGGCTGTGCCACTGGGACCTTCGGTGGAGCTCCCTATGGGGCCACGAAGCGCTGCCCTGGGTGGGGGAACCGCATGCGGGCTGTGCCACTGGGACCTTCGGTGGAGCTCCCTATGGGGCTACGAAACGCTGCCCTGGGTGGGGGAACCGCATGCGGGCTGTGCCACTGGGACCTTCGGTGGAGCTCCCTATGGGGCCACGAAACGCTGCCCTGGGTGGGGGAACCGCATGCGGGCTGTGCCACTGGGACCTTCGGTGGAGCTCCCTATGGGGCTACGAAACGCTGCCCTGGGTGGGGGAACCGCATGCGGGCTGTGCCACTGGGACCTTCGGTGGAGCTCCCTATGGGGCTGCGAAACGCTGCCCTGGGTGGGGGAACCGCATGCGGGCTGTGCCACTGTGACCTTCGGTGGAGCTCCCTATGAAGCTACGAAACGCTGCCCTGGGTGGGGGAACCGCATGCGGGCTGTGCCACTGGGACCTTCGGTGGAGCTCCCTATGGGGCTACGAAACGCTGCCCTGGGTGAGGGAACCGCATGCGGGCTGTGCCATTGGGACCTTCGGTGGAGCTCCCTATGGGGTTACGAAACGTGTGAGGGGTGTGCCGAGAGCAGAGGCAAGGAGGGGGAGGAGGGATGAGGGCGAGGAGGGGGAGGAGGAGGAGAGGAGGTGGGACGCGGGGCGCTGTCTCTTCAAAACGAGTACCCCACACCACAGGATGGTTGGGAATAAAAGAAGTCCTGCAGGGACATGTGCGGAGAGGACTTGGGACGGGAGGGTGATTGCAGCATCGTCGATGCATATTGGATGTACTCTGATCCTCCTGCTCCTCCTGCTCCTCCTCCTCCTATTCAATTTCTTCTCCCTGTGAATATTTTTCACACCCCGGGGCCAGTGGGAAGGGCGGGCGGGGCGTTGCGCCCGAGACCTCTTTACAATTTATCATCCTGACGCTTAGGAAGTGGCAGCAGCTTCATGGACGGAGGGCGGGCCGCTTCCAAAATGTGGTTCTCGCTATAGCGCCGCGCACATTCGTTTTTTTCTCTTTTTTTTTGTGAATTTGCCAGAGCTTCACTGATTGAGGGCCGGCCGTTTTCAGTAGTTGTTGTCGCCTTCGCGCCGCGCACATGCGTTTTTTTCGTTTTCAAAACGCAAGAACTTCGCGGATTGAGTGCGGTTCCTTTTCACATTGTGGTTCTCGCTATAGCGCCGCGCACATTCCTTTCGAACCTGTGTCAGAGTTGCACGGATTCCCATGGTTGACGTACCAGACATGGTGTATTGGTTACCGTACTAGAAATGGTGTAGTGGTACGATGTCGGATTGCCAGGGCGCAACAGCTAAGTTGATTCGTGTTTTGGAAGTGCCTGGAATGGTTTTCTGGCACGATTCAGGATCGTCAAGACGCAGTCAGGTTGATTCGTAGCGTTGGATTCCCGAAAACGGTGTTTTGGCACGCGTCAGGATATTGAAACGGTTGTTTCCTAACAAGGCATTTTCCGCAGCGGAAATGGACCCTTGTAGGGGCCTTCGAAGATGGAGTTTGGAGCTTGGAGGCAGGGTTTGTCCCAATATCGCTGATGAGTCTTAGGTTTGCACTGGTCCTCCTCTTCCTCCTCCTCCTCCTCCCCCTCCTCCTCCTCCACCGTAGCCATTTTGGCTCAAGTCCGAAGCGGTTTCGCTCAGAATTTGTTTTTTTTGGCGTGGGGGAGGTGCGGCCCCCCACAGTTCAGAGTCTCCTTCCCAGCCTGCCAAGGCTGGAAACCCTTCCCTTTTCACATACTCTAACTATCACAGTCCTGAGGTGTTCAGCCTCGCATGACCAAACAGCATGCGCCTTTGGGTTTACTTCCGTGCTGCTGCTGATGAGGGGAAGCTCGCAGCCGCTAAGCCAGAATTGTTCAAATGTTGGCCTTGTGGCTGTGGAAAGGACAAGAAGTCGGCTAACAACTGCTTCCGGTGCGGAGCGCCCCTCCGCTCCAAGGAGCCATGGCCTGAGCAGCAGCTGGCCGCAGCCGAGGAAGAGGCGCCAGGCAAGCCAGGGCGCTGGCCCAATGGCCGCGGGCGACGCGCGGAGGGTGATCCTGCAGGAGGCAGAGGCAGTGGCAAGGGCAGAGGCGACGGCAAAGGGCAGACGGGCGACACTCGCCCACCTCTGCGCGCTGGGCCCCAGCTCGCTAGCGGCGCTGACCCCATGGCGTTCGATGTCCACAAGATGCAGAGAGAGGAGATCCAGCAGCTCTTGGCGCTGGCCAGCAAGTAAGGCCTCACCATGGTTGCCAACAGCCGCAAGCTCCGTCTGTTGGAGGTGAATCGCCTGGCTGCTGGCCCTGCGCCGTTGCCGCCCGAGAAGCAGCTGTCTCTGTTGGCCAACGAGAGAGATGGTCACATCAAGAGAATGGGAAAAAATGATTTGGTCGACATGTTGGAAAAGAGCATGGCACGGCAGAGGGAGAAGATTCAAGAGCTCAGCGCGGAGCTCGGTGATTTCGACTCCAGGATCGCGGGCCTCAAGCTGAAGCTATCCGAAGAGGTCAAACGTCCAAGTCTTCATGATATTCACCCAGCGGCGGGCCCGCGGCTGGTCGCTCTTGGACGGCACCTTCACCATCGATTGCGGAGATTTGTTCGAAGTGGGTGATTAGGAATATGACTGAGCTCCAGCAGTGGTAGCAGAAGTTGGAGGAACGCATGGCTGATAATGCGAAGTCAAGGACCAGTTCGATAAGCTCAAGACCGAGCATGCGCAGCAGTGCGCAAGGTTCACTAACAAGAAGCGCAAGGCCGCTGATGGCTCTGCTCGGGAGGCAGGCGGCGGCGAAGCAGGCGGCTCAGCGGCAGCGGCCGCAGCCCCAGCCAAGCCCGGGGCGGCGGAGATCCATGGCTCCACGCCCAGCACCGCCCCTGATGCGCGCGCTCGTGCCCGCGATGACACACGCAAGTTGTAACATGCAGGGGCCCCCGGCGGCGCCGCTGCCCGATGGGGCCCAGTCCCTTGAGGGAGAGGGCGCGCAGGACAGACCTGGGCGCCCGCTCACCAGCGGGGCCCCAGCGCCCACATGCGAGACGTCTCCGGCGCCGCTTGCAGCTCCGAGGGCTACGAGTGGATCGATTTCGGCCCCCCTAGGCGCCAGCAGCGCCGCCGCCGCCGCGGGGGCGTCGGCGCCCTCGGGGCCGCCGCCGCCTCGCTTCTCGCCCCTGAGGGGGCCCAGCCACACGTTCGACTCAGAGGGGCGCGGGCTCCTCCAGGGACCAGCGCGAGCGCCGCCGCCGCGGGGGCCCCCGCACCCCGGGGGCCCGCCGCCGCCGCGCCGCCCAGTCCAGGAAGGGCCCAGCCACATCATGGACCAGGAGGTGCTCATTCGGATTCGCTGC